AACTTTAAAATAGCTGTAAGTTAAGTTGCGTGTAACGTGTTTAGCAACAAGACTTAGGGACCCCTGAGAAAGTTTGGAAAATCGGTTGCTCGCAGGTATGCATTGTTTGGTGCTGGTAGTGAACCCTCTGAAGCAATTCTTTGTAGCAGTACTAAATTAAAACTTTAGGTTTGATGTAACCAATTAGCGGAACCGGCGAGTAGAATAACTGCACATAAATGAAGAGGTCATTGAGATACATTAATACACCGAGTGAACAAGAAAGCGGATTTACGATAACCGGACAATTACAATGGAAGAAAAGTGACCCGACAGGTGGATTGGGTGAATTGCAACGGATTAACTGGTGTTTTGCATAACAGCAAAAGTTTATAGTAGGCTGGCTATAATACTTGAGAATCAGAACAGTCATGCTAACAGTAAAGTATGCATAGGTTAGTCTAGTCTCTTCTTTTATATTGTCCCTATGTATATATGATCGCTGGTGATATTCGTCTTTTTGACTATGAGGTCCATTTTCGATCGTGACTCTTTTCGCACGAGTTCGTTTCGAGTGTCTATGGGAAGCTTGTACGGTCTGAGCTCGACAACACTTTGGTGGCATCTTTCAAAAACTTGGCCAAACGTTTTTGGGGGTCTATATACGAGGGTATTTCTTAGCGCCCATGGAGAGCAGTTAAATTGAAATTCGTTCCTGGCTTTTATACCTGAACTCATTATTTCAGGTCGGAAGTGCTACCTGAAGAGTGAAAATTTAAAACGGGGCCAATGTAACGGAATTAATCAATCGATGGATTTCGCTGAGCTGAGTAAAAATGCAATACATGCTCCTTTGCCTAAGACGTATGTTCCAAAATGAAGCTAGTAAAACGCCGATTGGTCGTTTCTGTTTCTCTATATAACAATGAGACGTATGTTCTGAAATTTTCGAGCGAATTTCTCACAAATGTCGACAAAAAAATTTAGGGCGTTAATGCTGTCTTTTATATTTTCATCTTTGTAGAATACCAAAACGTTGAAGCTAAAAATTTTACGTGAGATACCGCTTCTTTAGCTCTAATTAGAAACTCGTGATGAACTGAATTAAACCATGTGTTCCCCGCGGCTGGTAAACAACGGCCTTTTGGAAGCGGCAATGCCCATTAATAACTGGGACTAGCCACAAATATTGCTTGAAAAACAACAATGTTTTACATAGCGGAAATATCTAAAGATAGGTTAGTTTCGGTGACAGTTCATTTAGATTTAGTTTACAATTATTTAGTTAAGAATGTTAAGGACCGAAGAACGCTTATTCTTCGTTAACAAAGCAGGTAGAATAAGAAGATGCATTTGTACGATAACTGTGCGCACGATTGCATCACAGAGCACATTCATATGTGATTGGCGCTACCTTTGTAACTCCTATGGCTCAATGACACCTATCCGTCGAAGAGTTTTCCGACGTTAGTAATACCTGTGCCCTTTTAGAAAAAAATGGTGGTATGATATGGCTAAATCAGATTGTTCGGACTTCAGCTCTTTAAATCCTCAGTGCTGTCGATTGTCGGGATCAATATGTTTCATAAAAGCATTTTGCATCCGACATTTGTCATTTCGACACATTTCACTTGGTTAAACAACTAATGAATTTTAACTTTTCCTTTTGTGAAAAGATAGAATTTTTGAAAGGTTATATCTGTTAACTGTTACCAATCAATGTCGATGTTAGTGTCCCAGGCTCGATAGTCGAATGCTTCAGGTAGTCTTTTTTTTTAAAAGAAGTATAGACCTATGAACTTCGAACTTGCGTATTCGGACTGAAAGCATGGTTTAGTTTAAACAGCTTGGCAACTACAAGTAAGCATCTGCGCTTGTGTTACAGACCTAAATCCAATCACTACATTCCTAATTCTGCACAAAACGAATTAATCGCAACAAAAATAAGAGCTATGTATACACTTTTGGCAGTCGCTCTCTTATGAAGAAATCAGTGAAGTTACTGATTGTGTCACCCCAAGTCTCAAACGTGCGACTGTTTGAAAGTTCATGATGAAATCACATTCTTTAAAAAGACTTGTATACGTACGTAAGCAGAAAACAACTTACATCAAAAAGCGAAAGCAGATAGCAACTATTGATATGGAACCGTTGAGCATCTCTAATATACGAAAAAATTCGTCGGGCTAACCATGGCTTAAACGAAGGCTGATCTATATAAATGAAAATATCAATCCTCGCACAGATCTCGTTAATGAAGACTAAGTAGTTGTAGAAGAGCCAGTAAAATTTGCAATTTACGTACGTATTCTACTTGGCCCTAAAGCAAATACACAAGCTATTATGCCACGAGTTAAACTGCTAATCAATGACGCCGATTGACTGTACTTCCTATCGGAATTCAACTGCTTCCTTATTTCCCAGCTTTTGCCATGACTATTCATCAAAGTCAAAAACAAATATCCAATCCTACTAGGATATGTTTGGATAAACTCGTTTTTATCCATGGTCTTTTATACACCGCGTTCTAGAGAGTCACTTCTACAGATGGAATTACCCGCTTTACTATTAAAGTAACCTTTTTATGCACACAGATTGCGTAAATAATGTTATTTTGTGTCTCTTGATCAAACAGCCACTTTATTCACGTACATTTTTGAGAAGTCGGCCAGTGGTCGAACAGTATCGTGAAGATTGACTAAATAAGTTGGTCGGGCACGGTTCTAGTTAAGTCAACTTGAGTTACTACAATTTATCTTGATAAACTGGCTTAAAATTTCTCATTTCATTAAATCAATGCTTACCATTTGACGGTCTGTTGCCATCTTATGTTCCCTCTGGAAAAAGTCGCACTTGCCGAGCTTTATTAAAGGATTTGCTATCAATTTCGAAACACTCTTTGTAGAGCTTCACTTCATTTGTGTTCAAGCGGAGCCGTTAAAGCGGACCATGAAACCTAAAGATGTAACATCTAGGCTACATGAGATGAGTTAGGAATATCACACTGTGACGTCTATGTCAGGTTAAATGTGTTTGTGCAGACAAATATTATATTCATGAATTTCTTTGCAGTGTCCCACGAAGCATTTAAATGGAACTCTGGCAGGCGTCACCCGTAAAGATTAAAATTAACTGCGCGTACTGGTAAATGTGCTAGAACACCTAAAAAAGACAGATAATATGAATAGTGTGTTGTATTTTTATTATATTAAAATGTAATAAACGAATTCTATTCTTCCCTCAACTACAAGTGTACCTTTTAGAACAGAAGTTAGTTAAGTTTTTGCTCTTCCCTGACTATATTAAGGGGTCGCCATAATTTTCTGCGCTCACATATAAGTGGCTTCGTAGACATATGGTGCAAGTTACTTCCAGATGCTTTCCACGCTCTTTTAATAAGTAAAGATTTTTTATCTGATTCTTTGGTAAAATATGGGGAATACTGTGTACAGCAGCGTACGCTTAGGACCTCGCTTCAACCAATTGCGCGTTCGTTCCAGTCAATGTGGTACGTCATGGAAAATACACACTCTCATCAACGAACCAGGAGAGCATGTGGATTGATGGATTGACTTAAGATAGATACGCATAACACAGATTATTGATTTCTCAAAAGGTTTGACCTTACCTAGAGAAGTAGGGGCATCTTATAATTGCGGAGAGCTTGTTTGACTGAGCTACCTTTTGGTACGCATTTATTTACAAATTTTGTTCTCCGGATGAATTGTTTGATACGACCGAAAGATGACGAAAATGGATGTAGTTCTCTACTACATAGGGTGAGGCAACGGTCTTTAAACAGTTACAAGGAAAGTGTCTTGATAGTTGGAAAGTCTCAATTTTTATATGTCATAATAGAAGGTGATACAAAAAATATTACAATGAGAAACGAATTTAACTGCCCAATAAATCTATAACAGGGGCGTCCTAACTCTATTTCTAATGAATGAAATTCTGGTAAATCTTTGCCTTCCCGTCACCCGGGAGAAGTGTTAAAAACTTCCATGCAAATTTGTAGAACAAACTTCTGAGAATTATTTTTGCATTACTTCGAGCAAACATTAGGGAATTTATCAAAGGAAACCGAATATGATAGACATGTTTTTGCCATAATATAAAACTAATTTACCAAAATCGTTACTTTCAATTGACATCAGTGATGAACAAAACTGGTATAGATGCGTTTTGTTTGACCTGGTGCAGCTCTACATATTAATCCTTTAATTTTTTCATAGGTTATATGTATGTCCAGCCATTCTATAGCTGATAAATTTGGCAACCGCTGTCTTTAGTTGTTAGTGTATAAAGTGGATTATCTTTTATAATTTAATTCATTTTGTTCAATTATGTACTTTTAAGCGCTTATGTAAAAAGGTAGAGATTCTACGATAAAGGACATATCTTTATTTTACCTACTATTTCCATCGAAAAACTATGTTTTATATTCACACAAACATCCTAATGCTTTATATTAGCTGTATATTAGCTAGAATTAATCCTGCACAAAAAACATATTTTATCATCTAAAATGATTCGTTGAAACTGTGGTGATATAGTTTCGGATCATCAATTCAAAGCAATTCTATTCATATGTACCCATTTAATTTAAAAATTGTCGCATTGCAATCTTTGAAGACTTCACAAAGCTTCTGAAACTGTTAAGTAAAGTCTTCGCAACATTTTCAGCAATAATATAATAGAAATCGCCACCAAACCACCGACAGGACATTGTTGGCTCCATCACAGGTTGCTCAAGTCTCCACCAAAGTTTTGAAACTACGCAGTACCATTGATTTCGTATATTTATCTCATATCGCTATGCTGACTTTATAAAATGCAGTTCTTCTATAGCTTCAATTGAATTCACGGCTTTTATTCAATATAATTTTCACAACTTGGTTATTTTTCGATAACACAATTACTATACACTATTAGTTATACAGAAAAAGAATTTTCGACAGTTAGGTGTTTTATAACCAGTACTACTTCATTGTACAACTTTTGTACAATTTTCCTTTTAGTGAGGGCCTCCGATGATGAAGAGAGACTGGTGCGAGACCTCTTTCGCGACTACAACAAACTTATACGGCCCGTGGAGGTTCTCAATATGACTGTGGAAGTGGAATTCGGCCTCTCCTTTATTCAACTTATCAACGTGGTATGTAGTATATTCTTTTAATTAAATGCGCAAGTAAAAATACAGCTTAAGCTGAGAAAAGCCAATATTTACGCTAAATCAATTAGATACGAGTATTTCCATATCCGTATTCTCCTTAATTTGCTTTTTTCAGGATCACAAAAAATATTTTAAACATTTAGCCCACCTTAATTTTGAAACATGTGTTCGCTCTAAGATACTCCAAAATTAGTATACGAGTTTTTTCTCATATATTTCGGTAGAATCATTTACGAAGGGTAGCAACCGCATCGTTAAAAACTGAAACACTAAACTGTTCAAAGCTATAAGTTTAAAATTTTAAGATGAAATGGCTAAGTTTGGTAACAGTATGTATTCGCAAACTAAAAACAGAGCCAGCTGCGGTAAAACACCAAGTCTCCGCTGCCCCAGAAGGACTTAGGATAGATATTTGTGGTGAGCAGAATATGTTTGAGAAGGCTTAGACGCTTAAAAACATCACTTTGGCTTTATTTTTTTGGGGTAGTTCAAACTGGACCTATTTTTTAGTGTATTGTAGCTTTCTAACAAGTTGGATTGCTTATAGGATATATTTTACAAAGTACAAGTCTTTGAAAATTGGACATAATTTTAATAAAATTAGTGGTCTGTCAATGTGTAAAATTGCTTAATAATGATTATGATTCTTACTTTCCTTCCAGAATGAGAAAAATCAAATTATGACTTCTAATGTCTGGTTACAGCTGGTAAGTGCCCAAAAAGATCTGAATGAATACACATACAGCATAAGGACACCCTTACCTAGGGGATTTGCTTATTGACAGAAGAATAGTTATAATCTTATGTAAAAGGGACTGCTTTACATAAGAAGGGAAGGCTTTGTGTATGTCCGTTCATTAGAATAAGTAAATCAATAGACAAGAGATGAAATACAAGAATAAATCCTACGTGGATTGCTCTTTTTCATTGGAGGATTGCCTGTAAAATTACATCCAGTTGGATTAAAATTGAGCCGTATAGCCTGACAGTTACTCTTGTTAAAATTAAGGCCTATCTCAGGCCAAATAGTCAGATTGCTTCCAGAATGCATTTTTTAAGATTTATAAGCCCTATGATTACTGTATATGGATCACATCATCTGCTTTGTTCGAGTCGATTTAGTCAGGGTGAACGGAGAGCGGCAAATCAAGAAATGTTCCGCTTGAAAGCATATCTGCGACAAGTTAGTAAACTAAGACAGAATAAAATTTAAAAACATTGACCTATTGAGACGAGTGTCCCATATGCTACTATCGTCCAGCGTTTATCAGCGGAAGATACAAAACACCACAAAGATAAAATACTTATCATGAATGTTAAGCAAATATTACAGAAAGCAAATTCAGTCTGTTGGTGCACGTAGATCTTTTATACATTATAATATTCGACTTAGATGCGGAACAACTCATGGATTTAATAAAAAATATATTAGCAAAACGTGTATAGAAATGGACCTCATTTGATGTAACATACTTCGCATCTAAAAAAAAAGCTCTAAAAAAAAATATGACCAGTATTGATGCAACTTTGTTAGTGTTAGATTTTTCCTATGGTAAACATTACTAGACCAAAAATCAGAATTATTATGCGTTTCTTCAATAAATGGCGTTTTTATCACCACCGAAAATTATCAACCTTCTTCCTTATATCTACTTACATGGTTACCGATGAAAAGCAAATCGTTATGAACATAAAATGCTGTTTCAAACTTTTGTAAAAAGAAACGATCTATGTGTTTGATCTTTGCTTATGTGAAACATCTGCTGACTATTCAAGTAAGCTATACTCAGTAGTACAAATGAACGTAGAGCCGATTGTGCCACAAGCCATTGCCTTTCACTTCGATTTTCAAGTAATCCACCCTACACAGCAAATTATAGACATGAATCAGTGGAACGCATTACATGTAGGTCCTCGAACTGTTAATCGAATGTAAAGTTCTGTTTGCAGAAATGGTCAGACTACCAGCTCCGTTGGGACGAGGCTGACTACGGCGGTATTTCAGTACTTCGTCTGCCCCCGGACAAAGTGTGGAAACCTGATATTGTTCTATTTAACAAGTACGTTATAACATTTTATTCGTATATTTTGTGTACTACATAGAGTCAGAATAAAATATTTAGTTTTAATCTCTGTTCATCTACATGGAATGCACCGTCTTTGTCAATGTTATGATTAATTTTATATACTATAGCTTGACATACCAAGCTAAATTACAACGCCTCATGCTTAATCTACCCTTTAGCAGCTAACTTAAAAACACGTTGTAAAAACTTTGTCGTTTTACTCACAGCGCGGATGGCAACTACGAAGTGCGCTATAAATCCAACATACTTATTTACCCCACTGGGCAAATCATGTGGGTGCCTCCAGCCATCTACCAAAGTTCATGTACGATCGATGTGACGTACTTCCCTTTCGATCAGCAAAAATGCGTCATGAAATTCGGCTCGTGGACCTACAATGGTGACCAAGTGTCCTTAAAGCTCGAGCAGGACAACTTCTGGGTTGACTTATCGGATTACTGGAAATCTGGCACGTGGGATATTGTCGAAGTGCCAGCATTCCTCAATGTACACGACAACCGCAAAAGCGGCAAACCGACGGAAACCGATATTTCCTTCTATATAACAATCCGACGAAAAACTCTCTTCTATACGGTAAATTTGATCCTGCCTACCGTACTCATCTCTTTCCTTTGCATCCTTGTGTTCTACTTACCGGCTGAGGCAGGCGAGAAAGTTACCCTGGGCATTTCCATCTTGCTGTCACTTGTCGTGTTTCTTCTGCTTGTATCAAAGATCCTACCGCCCACGTCACTGGTGTTACCACTGATTGCCAAGTACCTGTTGTTCACGTTTCTTATGAACACCATGTCAATATTGGTGACCGTAATCATCATAAACTGGAACTTCCGCGGGCCACGGACGCACAGAATGCCGAACTGGATAAGAGTCCTATTTCTTAAGTACCTGCCAACAATACTCTTTATGAAGAGGCCCAGCAAGACCAGATTAAGGTAAGTGTTCCAACCTTTAGTGGTATATTGTAAAGTAAAATGACAATTTTTCATAACGGACAAATATGGTGCATGTAGTATTGGCTAGTAAATAGGATATCACATTCTGAAAACCTTTGGTCTGCCAATATAACACATTTTTTTTTACATTTTATGTGTATCTACAACCCAATGAATAAACGCAGGCTTTGCGCTTAATCTAATGGGTATAATAATATTTCATGCGATGTAAGATACGAAGTATGCCGACTAGGAGGAACGCTGTTAAGTCGAGGTTCTACGCTTCTTGGCTAGAGATAGATGTTGATGCAGCGCTTTTTTGTTTTTACCTGCGTTTTACTTCACTTTAAGAGTTATTTCTCGATCGGCTTCATCAAACCCTTTTACTCTCACGGATATTCCTAAATATGATTATTACCTGCAAACTGTTTGTCGTTCCAAAGCAAAATACACTCGTGGCATTTGTGTATAAATCCGCACTAACGTAGAACCAACCACAGTAGCTTGGTTGCCTACATGCTACTTTTCTTGCAGCTATATTCAAATCTTTTTCTGGAGCCTGCCTTTGGTTAACCTCAGATTTTACGCTGATACCGTATAAATTAGGATATTTTATAAAAAAATGAATCCAGTTAAAAGGTTTTACCATGAAAAACATTGTGTCCACTGCGTTTTCTGAATATTTTAACACTTAGATTCTAAATTGCATTCTGGGGGTTCGAAAATTAACGCCAGTTGTATTATATAGCGTTCCCATATCTAAAACTTAAAATGGCGCATTTTTCAAAAGATAGTTGTCGGCCTAGCTTTATTATCTAAAACTCTCAGAACCTTGACAATTTATATAAACTTTAAAAATCGAAAATTTCAAGCGAAGTCACTAGAAGGTTTCTTAGCGTCAAAAGAAGCCCAGCAGCTCTGCGTGCGTGAGACATTCGAAAATAAATTTATATATGGCATCGAAGCTGTCAAATTTGTAGCATTCGCGCGCCCTAGTCAAATAGATTATTCAATAACTGAAAAGTTGTGCTGTGTACTGCTTGATGGAATAATTGTGCGTCCGATATTAGTCTTTGTGCATACGCATTTTTATGTATAGTTTAAACTATGACACGTTCCAGGCTTGTGCATGCCACAAGTTAACAATACCGGGCGCCCATTGGAGGTGCCTGGCTTCAAACTTTTTTTGTTGGCAGGACAATACCTGCCGTAACCATTTCTGGTACCTGTATTTCTCCGAACTGTCTTTTAAAATCTACGATAGCGGTATGAACACTTACAAGTAAGCTTCTTCACCAGGACTGAAAATACTTGATTGGCGTTCGGTTTGTTTTCGACTATTCCTCATATGTTGCCAATTGTGTACTGGACATATACCGACATCCAGTACAACATTCTAATAAGGTCCTTCTATGGTAACAGAGAGATTCCTTTAGTCTTATTGATTGTCGAATGTCTCTTCGGAGCGCTTCTTCTGAATTCCAGTCTCCTTTTTATTATCCGTGGTGAATGCTCAAATGAATTATGCTTCGAGAGTACGTCATTACGGTCCTTCTGCGAATGTGGTAGTACATACATTATAGCTCTGGCATAGTATGGCGTGCTCCCTCGTGACGGCTTATTTTTTCTAGCCTATGCAATACTCCTTTAAACAAATATGATCGTATTCTTTCTTTTGGCTTCCATAAAGGTTTGATCAGTAATTTGCTCGAACATAGCAAGCGGGTTCCTTTTACCAGTATGAAAACCTTATTTACAACCTGCAGATGTGCTACCATTTGATTATACATTTCGTTTGAGTTATTACAATTCCTAAAGAATAAAATTTAGCCTGGATTATTCTGGATGGAGTATATAATTGATTTCATTGTGATGACTTTTCTTATAATTTAGAGCCAGGGTTAGGTAGATATTTCCAGCGTAATCACGAGTAAGATTGAATCCGAAAATACAATTATCTGATTTCAGATTTCAGCAGGGTTATGCCCTTACTTCCAAAGCTGAGTCATTTTTAAAGAAAAATTATGAAACACAAAAGAAAGCAAAGTATGGGAGCGATTCTTTGGTCGTAAAAAATTGATTCGGTTACAAATTCTGCAAGGCCGTGTACATCTTCAGCTATTCCAAGTCCTCGGAAGATATCCCAGTCTATCTGTGGTTCGTTGAGATAACCCGATGTCGCATTAATATGCTGCTGATCTATGAGTTCTTGCAGCTCCTCGCCTAACTTCATGCGATTTAGGGGTTTCTGAGTCGGCCCTCTCGGCGAGGTGTAGACTGATATCAACCATATCATACTACTGGGGAAGGTAATATCGCAGACGACAACTTCGGATGGGACAGTAATAGCCCTCATTTTGGCACATGAACGGCTTTTTCTTATTAAAATAAGTACATCCCTCTACGGGAGGCCCTACCTTCTCTAAGCTTCACATTATGTTTTTTCGAGCTTCCCTTTTTATTAAAGGGAAGCTCGAGTTTTTTTTTTATGTTTTTACAATTAAAGGAGTCCATCCTTTGTTTTAATAGCCTACTGTGTCCATTGTGCTCATCTAAATTTCTACGTTGTTTAGTATATTCTAGTAATCTAACAATATCATTGTCTAGCAACGTTTTGATGGAGTGTTTATTTTTAAGGATAACATTGATTTCGTATATGTTCATCCAATATGTTTGACTTTGTGAATTCGGGTATACTCTAGTTTGCATTTTCGGCAATCTCCGATCGTTCTACGGTGTCGAAATCGAAAAAGTAAATAAAACATGCGAAATAAAAATCTCGAGCCATATAAAATTTATGAATGGTTTTCCGTGTTTAACCTAGATTACATTAACACTAGGACATTAAAAAAGCATTCGAAAACACTGATAAATATGTAACCACAAAATTTAATCATCGCACTATTGAAGTTGGAAGTACGTAAATACACGTCAACTTGTAAATATCAGTTACTTAGTAGTGCCCACAGAATTTGCACGAGATTAAAATAAATCACTGATTGTGCCAATATTATGAGTCATTTTTTCTTGGTATCAGGCCTGTTCTTGTAGCCACCACACCATTAAAAATCGCTCTTACGGAACCAAACAACTAAACAATGTTCTTATTGTTAAGCAGTTTTACACCTGATGAGACTATCTGCGGCTTGCAAATACGATAAACACAACTTCATTTGTCTCCGCTTGACTGCTCGATAAAGGATTATCGATCACAACAAAACTGAAAAAAATGTATAGGGATAACCATGTAAATGCATGTGTCTCTACTGGTTTGTTTTTCAGGTGGATGATGGAGATGCCAGGTTTAGGTGTGCATCACCATCATTTTCACCCTCCGTGCTCTGACAAGGCAAATAAAATGTCTGATTTTGTTGAGTTAGCTGATGTGGCCCATTCTGCTGTAGGCCACTACCCAAACTGTACGCAAAGTCGAGCGAAAAACGATGATGAAGTGCCACCGCATGTTGGTCATGGTCCGCATATGAATGTCGCCAATAATCGTAGGGACTCGGACTCAACCGACGTACTTTACCTGAGCCCAGAGGCCTATCGGGCTACTGAAGCTATAGAGTTTATTGCTGAACACCTACGATGCGAGGATGAATACATTCAGGTATTAGATCTAACCCAAGGGGCAACAATATGTAGTCCATCAAATCTTATGGGAAAATTATATGCGATCCTAATTTACACAACACGTGTTAGGTTGAGTTTGAGGTTAGGTTAAGAAGCACTTTTGCCATATTTGATGATCTAAAGGCATAAGACCTTCTCAGAAGTACAGTAATTTTTTTTGTGTCAGATGTCATACGATGCTCTCTGACATATTCATCGAATCAGATGAACATAATGATATTAGTCATCAAAACTAACAAATTCCGAAGATAGTTCATGTAAATAACGGTACCGCAACTAATTTTCCTTTCTCTCAAAATGGATTAACTAAAAATTGTGTTAAAATAGAACCTCTCGCGGCTTGCCAGTTGTATAATCAGACTTTGTTCGCTTTTCACCTATCATTTTGTATCATAACCACCATCATCATTATTTATCCATTTACACCTTTGTCATTTACATATGCAAGCTAAATTTTAAAAAAAGAAAAAAAAAAATATATATATATATATATATATATAAGAAAATTGATGAAACAATAAATACAGAAACGTACTTTCAAACATCACTGATGGTGAACTTTGCTAGAATAGAGAGATGGCACCTGCTCCATTTGTAACACGAACATATAGCTGCAACTGTCCGCAAAGGCTAACATGGAATCTTGGAAAATATTGCCTTGCATATCTGCGCCAGTACGCAGTTTCTAATATTATATTATTAGAAGGCTATTCTTATTCATTTTTGAAGATGTTTTTAAGTAGCGGTTTAAAATTCGCTGGGTAGTCGGAAGCGAAACTACTTAAGATATAGAAATCAAAAAGCAAAGTAGTTATTAGTGAATATCTGCTTAGCAGCATGGTAATATAATCGCATATTACTTTATCCCAAGGTACATTATCGTAAAGTAGGATCCTTTCAATAACGTCAAGTTAGATTACACCCATGTTTTTCTGATTTCTAATAGTAGCGTTTTCTTGGCTTGTTACCGTTTTGCAGATCCGGGAGGACTGGAAATACGTAGCCATGGTAATCGACCGTCTGCAGCTTTACATCTTTTTTGCAGTAACTGCAGCAGGCACAATGGGTATTCTGCTTGACGCACCACACATTTTCCAGTACGTTGATCAAGACAAGGTGATAGCAATGCATAAGAAATCTACTGCATGATCGGCGGCACGATTACCGCTGATAACAGCGGCACAAACAGCAGGGTCGGTGGTCAATGCATACATACCTCTTTTATGGACCGAGTCGCTCATATGTCCGGCGTTCGGGGGACAAAGGGGAAAGAAGACGACAGAGAGAGCAGCAACGCAACTTCTGGGCGCTGGTGTTCATCCACTAGCTCAAATGCCTTCATCGTGTTAACCGGCTCAAAAAGCACTCAACGGCATATGGTTGGCGTTCTCTTTGGTGCACTGTTGGATATTATGGCAGTGCTAGTTTAACTGAAAAGTGCAGTCGATGATGTTACTGGAAGCGTGCCCTTTATTGGCAAATAAGAATAGGTCCGAATTTAGACTTATTCTTGAGAAAACTCTTGTTAGTAGGTATCCATGTCAAACTCCAATACAAAAACAGAGAGATGGTAGACCTATGGCCGTTGGGAAGTTCCCTTGAAAGGTAAGAAGAGTGCCTTCTCATTAAAATAAGCCGACTAACGGTCTTACATAAAAGCTTAATATAACTAAACCAAGCTAAACTGAATATACAAATCTATACAAGAAATGCGAAGAATATAAAAAAAAAAATTAAGGACAATAGAAAATACAAACGACAATGGGATACCACTGTAAACACCTAACGCATATATTAATTAGGAAACGAAATCTGATGGAATGTTACAAATCTATTCTTCGCTAATCCCATCAATTCTGTTAAAAACGTACAGAGCCAAATGAAGGTAATACTCAAATGGAATGACCTAATGGGAACTCTACCTATCGACGAAATCAGTTTTCGAAATATCGACGAGTTTGACCCATCGGAATTACGAGCCACCATGTATGGCAAAACAGTTTAGCAGCATGAAAACCTTCAGCTTTGGCACATAACAGAGGAATCTGATATTATTATTATTTAGCAGCTACAGGTTACGCCCGAGGGAAATTTGTAGGATACCATCATTAAAGATGATGCCCGCTACTAATGGATTTCCGATAGTGTGACAGGCACTTATATCAACTTTGTTAGATATTTCCTTAGTGACAACGTTAAAATCGAGTCGGAGCAAATGTAAAGTGAACATATAAACATGACTGCATACTAAATAGGCTGGTTTCTGTAAAATTTTTCTGTATCCGATTCAAGCCTGTTTCCATCTGCTAATTACATGTCCAGCAAGCATAAGTAGTTCGTGGTCTTATTAATGAATAATATACAACAACAACTAAGGTTTCAATATTTTCAACAAGGCAGCAATATTTTCATATAGTGACGACAAAATTATTGTAACCTATGATTTTGGGCTCTTTTCTATTTTACCAAAGAAATTGTTCTGCATATAGTAAGTCACTGTATACTTACTTGCATATTTGGAATTACTACATATTTTGGCTGATTTTGCGCTATATTAAGAACATGACGAGTATAGCAGACAAAACTTTTCCATTATGATCAACACACCCTGCCTTATCTGGAAGACTCGGCATACTTCATAATCCTATATTTTAATCCGGGATTCAATTCGGGATATTTTAAATTTCGTTTGAAAGCTAAGCACTAAAATATGCAACTAAAAACGTATTTCATTATGGACTTTCTATTACATAAACAGGCTTGTGGTCGTTCTTTTTTCACTGCTTCCTTGAAATTTTTCTTATGAACAGAAAAATGAATTGCACCGTAGTCATCGGCTTTCTCATTATTCAAGATTGACGTACTGCTGCTACGGCAACTATCAGCCACCATCGTTCGGTGTAGTCCGCGCTAGCAGCAACTGCCCCCCAAGATTGTACTAGTAGTATTTGACAAACTACGTAATAACAACGGGAACTTACGTCCATGTTACTTATTACAATTGTGTGTGTTGCATAACTGCTACTATTGTTAATACTATAAGTAGTCTTCTTTGGCTGCTGCTGATTATGTTCATAATTAATGGTTAATAATAACAAGCTAACAACAGTGATGTGTATAAGTAGGAACATTATTATTAACTATATTACACTATATACATATAGGAATAATACTATCAAGCAAACAACCTTGTCAAAGGCAACCAACTTGGTATTAAACAAAAAAAGAAAGCCACTGCAGAAGGTACTGCAGACCCAGTTACGATGAATAACAAGTACCACTCAAGTGAACAGTGCAGCTATTATAACCTAGAGTTAAATAATGCTATAATAATATAGTAGCATTAATACTATTCCTACCATCATTATTATTGTTGTTAATACAATTAATAAAGGTTATTGAACAGTCTTAGTAATAATGTCAGCTCATCAGATAACAATATGTCAGCTACGTTCGAATGATAAAAGCTGCGACGACGATTAGAGAAAGGGAGAATACCGCTAAAGACTGTCTAAGATTTACACTGTCATGGCCTGAATCCGCCGCCATAGACTGGTGCTGTCTTGCTATTATTGTTGATAATTATAATCTAAACACTCAATTCTACGTGCAGCTGAAGAGCAGCAGCGTGTTGGTCTGTCCTTCCCGGCAGAGCCGCACGGTCAACGGGTCCGCCCCCAAATTACAGTACATCAGACAAAAGTAAATACTACTATTGTTCCCACAGCAAATGCATATGACAAGATGAACATTTAGACAATGAATGATACAATTACAGACATGACAATTTTACACAGACATTTACACCAGCAACAGTTAGTTATACGCACCACGGTGACAACTATGCGCATTGGAGGATCTACAATGATAAACAACTGATCTAATTTCTTCACGACTTCTCCACTGGTTGCTATAGTGCTTCCCAAAGGTTCGTTATACGGCTTTTCAACCTTACCATTTGCTATGATTGCCTTATAAGGTCATCGTATTTATAGAGTAGTATTTTGATCAATTTTTCATTTACTTTTCCCGTATATATCTTAATTCGCCCAATACTAGATGCTCAGACGCTTAATCTTGTTTATTTTTTATTTTCATATAACGAAAAGTATAACAGAATAACATTCATATTCCTTGATATTGGCCTCAATGTATAATACAGTAATAGCTGATAAAAGGCAGCTCACCAATTCTGTACCGAAAGAACTGGTTAAACTGATCTTTTTCTCTTATTTGGCGACTCGTCATACGTTATACTTGAATATACATTATCCATAAGTATATATTGACCTCATAAAATTCTAGACCAATTGCGAAGACCAAATGGTCCATACATCTAAATGTATCTTTAATATTCAATCCTGCTTGTTTCAATAACTAGCGTGCACATTCCCTTCACAACAGTAAAAATTAAAGGCGCAACGCACGAACTATATTATATAAGTCCCGAGTTGCGCGCTGATCGTTAAGAACATTTCGATATGCAATCCATTCATGTAATTGTTGCTTGAAGTAACAGCCTTGTACTATAAATGCTAAGATAATGCAAATTACGTATTCGAGGTCAACTTGGTTAGCCCTATGGTTTGCTGAAGTTTATTCTTTGCGTATATCCTTGTTCGGAGAGCGATCCAAATTCTATCTATCTTCCGTTTCTGATTACAAAGAAGACTAAAGCACAAATTAAGTGTAAGACTGTGTTTTTTAGGTGCGCCGCTATTTATTGATCAGTTTGCAGTAAACAAGACTAAGTTCCGATCAAGGTGACTGTTATGCAGCACTAAATTACGTGCTGCCTAACTTCTAGGCAAAAACGACGATCCTGCTACAAGCGTTGCTCTATTCGTCGCCGAAATATTAAGATTCATAGAAGCATTGGGCAACGTTATCAAATGCTACAACTGCCACAAAAATATAGTCTTGAACGACGCGATTTACAATTTGGTGTCTCAATATGCGGCATATATACATATATATATATGGGGCTTTATTTGACGCGATGTGTGTATGCATATATCGCATCTCGGAGCAAATATATA